TTTTTTTTTTTTTTTTTTTATATTTCAATTGAATTAATGTAAATCATGCCACAGCATGAATTTTAAGGGAGCTATCAATTTTATAACAATAAAGTATTCTAAATTAATATATGTCTCAATGAAAATCAAATATTTTCCAAAACTAATGGCATACTTACACCAACTTTCTCCATTTTCATATTATTGATAGTGAATAAAATTCCCATTAAATGAAAAATTCACAACAAGCATACAATGACAATTGAATTGAACATTTCCTACTATTCAGAATTTGTTTATAATTATTTTTTTATGTCAGAAAAAAAGCAAAGAATTAACATAATTAGGTTATATTTTAAAAATCTTTTTTGTGTTTTTGATAAGTTTAAGGTTACAGAATTTCGGAAATGTTCAGCTTCAATTTACATTCTAAGACTTTTATTTCAATAACTCAACTCAGGCTGTGTGGAAACCAAATGCTAATCATCATCATCAGTATTGTGGTATCTTGCATCATTGGTCCTCATCAGTGGTGTGGTATCTTGCACCATTGGTCCTCATCAGTGTTGTGGTATCTTGCACGATTGGTCCTCACCAGTGGTGTGGTATCTTGCATCATTGGTCCTCATCAGTGGTGTGGTATCTTGTACCATTGGTCCTCATCAGTGTTGTGGTATCTTGCACCATTTTTCTCGTTTAGTATTGTGGTATCTTGCACCATTTCTGCTTACCAGTAGTATGGTACCTAGCATGATTGGTCTTTATCAGTAGTGTGGTACCTAGCATGATTGGTCCTCATCAGTGGTGCAGTATCTTGCACCATTGGTCCTCATCAGTGGTATGGTATCTTGCACCATTGGTCCTCATCAGTGGTGTGGTATCTTGTACCATTGGTCCTCATCAGTGTTGTGGTATCTTGCACCATTTTTCTCGTTTAGTATTGTGGTATCTTGCGCCATTTCTGCTTACCAGTAGTATGGTACCTAGCATGATTGGTCTTTATCAGTAGTGTGGTACCTAGCATGATTGGTCCTCATCAGTGGTGCAGTATCTTGCACCATTGGTCCTCATCAGTGGTTTGGTATCTTGCACCAATGCTCCTCACCAGTGGTGTCGTACCTTGCACGATTGGCATTCATCAGTTTTGTGGTACAGTGGTGTGGTATCTTGCACCATTGCCCCTCATCAGTGGTATGGTATCTTGCACTACTGGTCCTCATTAGTGGTGTGTGGTACCTTGTACAATTGTTCCTCTCCTATGAGAATGAAATAAAACAATGTAGAAACCTTTCTAACAAACATAAACTTGTACATGTATAAAATATACACAAAGAAATATATCAGGAAGAAAGTGGTAAAACAGTGGTTCCCAACCTGGGGTCCCCAGACCCCTTAGGGGTCTGCGAAAAATAATTGGGGGTCTGCCAAACCCCATAGGGGTCCGTGAAAAATAATTGGGGTCCACCAAGTCAAAGGGATCTGCAGGGGTACCTCAATGCTTGTCTTAAAACAGTGTGATCATGCCTTGACAATAATTAAATACCCTTGACAGGCATGACTTCGTTCACTGTAAATTGTTTTAACTGGCATTATAATTTAATTCCTGTATTTTATTGGTGATCTGATAGAATCTTTAAAATCAGTTTTTTTATGTATTCTTTATGTAAAGGTGTTTAGTATAGGAGAGCGACATGATAGTGGCAATCCTCAGATAAACGTACATTTTTCCATGTTTTCTCTTGTATTGTTTTAACCTGGATATTGAATAAAATTTAAAAATCAGGAGGGAGGCCTAAATTTGACAAAATTAAAAGTAAATGGGGAATAACAGAATATTATCACTCAGATTTTGAGTCTGACGGTGTCATTTATGGCCATCTAGAAGTGCCATAAACATAAAAACAAATCGTACCTCAGCCTTAACCATGATGGGATTGAGGAACCGTTTTAGTAGTTGTAAATGTAACAATAGTAAACAACAAACTAATAACATATAAAACTGTACAATTTATTTCCAAGTGAAAAACGTATGGTAGATGAAAAACAATAAAGAATATAGGCAAACGGTTATGCCTATTACTATACTATTTAAATATACAATTTTAATAGATAAGATTAATTTAACGTGGACATAATAATTCATACTTAAACAATACTTTAAATTTATACATTAATAAAATATAACGTTAACGAATAAATAACAATAACTAAACCGTGTACATAGTGTATCACTACTACAATAATAAGATTAACATTTTCAATCTTATAATAAATTTTATACAGCCAGTGTTATGTATTGACCTAGGCTACTATGACTAATGACAGGTACGCTTTCATCATTAAAGACTTTTTCTATGAATGGAATGACCTGTACGAAACACGAGCTCCTGTAGACCAAACCCAGTACCGTTACAATTTTAATCGTGCGGGAAATATCCTCTTGATGGATTAAGGTTGGGAACCACTGAGGTAAACAGTGTTGTAAGATAATAGATACTAAAATTTGTAATCTTGCAAACTGTGCCATATTGTATACAGGTTTAACCCCCGAATTTAGAATATTTTCCGTAAAGGGCGGATCCAGCAGGGGATAAGTTAAAAAGAACTTAAAATGTCATTGTTGCATAATTTATTATTATAAGACAGATAGATGCTTAATAACCAGACTTAAAGAACCTTTATTTTACATTTTTAATCTATTGTTTGATTATAGGCTGTTGTTTACTAAACTGTGACTCAGTGAGGAGGGGTGTATTCAGAATTTTTTCTAGGTGGGTCGTGATCATAATTTTTTGGACCTTTTCACAATGAAATAACAGCAAGATGTGATTAAAATGTCTACAATTTGCTTGGAGCGGATGGCAGGCTTAGTTTCAGAATTGCTGGAATTCAGATAGATTACGTCATGCAAATGGCAAGGTCTTTGAACTCATTACTGTTACCTCAATGCTTTTTCATTTATGTATTGTCAAAAGGCCCTAGAAAAAAAAATGTCATACTTTATAAATCAATGATATTAATAGTGTCATTATAAGTTAAATTTTATATTTTTAAATATACCGACAGTTTCCTAAATGGTATATCACATTTAAGGAGGCATTTGCCTGAGAAAAAAATAAACCCATTGCCTATAACAATCAAGTGCGAAACAAAAAAGCAAATGTTATAGAATGGATGGCGTCGACAAAATTTATTAAAAGTATTTGCATTCATTGTTAAACTGCTTTTCAACAATATTTTAAATGTAGATACTGTACATTGAAAAATAGGCCTACTGTATCATCTTGTATTATTCATTGCCCAGTACATCATATTTAAATTGTCTATGCAAGTAAATATAGGGAAATGCTGACGAAACAAAATGTATCAGTGCTTCCTTTTAGTAAACTGTCTGAATTAGTTTAGATAAGTGATAAATGCAAAGTTTCCAGGAAGCTTTTCCCCCTGATTCCCCCAGCCAAAGGGAGGGCCCTCCCTACCAATCCTCCCCCTCCCCCGGCGGATCCATCCTGGATCCGACCCTGCGAAAGATGTCACAATATAAGCAATGTATGTTAAAATATTACTAAGTGAAGTGGAG